GCTACTGCTACTGCTACTACTGCTATACGACGACGAGGACCACTACTACTGTTGCTGCTGCTACTACTCCTCCTACTCCTACTCCTACTCCTACTCCTACTCCTTCAACCTCTTTGACTAAGATTAGCCTCCCTGTGGCTCGATCATGCTCGCAAGTCGTGCAACTAAGGAAGCTTTGTCACCGTGGCACGTACTGTCCAGCATCCACAGGTGGAGCGCAAAACTCATCGCCTGGATATTCTTGTGATTTTTCCGCAGCAATTCTGCTGTCGATGTGCTGCTCTTTGGCATCTTGGGCCTAGACATTCTAAACATTTCTAAACAGACCACAGGCCGCAAAGGCTAGATGTATCTCGCGCAGCAGACAGTCTCAAAGCTTGACTCACGGAGTCCGAAATTTGTGCCCGGCAAAGTGGCCGAAGGGGCAAGTGCACATGCCAGAAGAGGAAGATCCTGCCTCGTGAAATGAAGTGCACTCTTCACCGAAGCCCAAATGCAGGCTGCACGTTTTGAATTGGGGATCGTCCGCACGCCGACTGCTAGTAACACGTGCCTCGAAATCTCCAATCGGCCTACAGGTCGATTTAAGAAATAAGCTTGCCTTCCCAAGATGAATGCATAGCCGAAGACCGGTGCTGGAACGCAACACGGCAGGGAACACATGACTTGCAAGATCAAGAAGCGTCAGGGCATAGCTCAAAAAGCCAACCCATCGCAAAAAAGAGGTGATGAAACTTGTCCTTGGCTCCACGGCTGACACTCAGGCAAACCGTGCAGGAGAGGCTTGGCCACGGCATCAGGGCTAGGATCTGGGATTCAGTTGCTGTGAGTTTGCCTGGTAGCGGCTATCGCAAAGCGGCAAATCGGTCGTACACTTCGGGTGCCCGCCTCTGACGGTAAATGGCAAATAATATACTTATCCAAAGAGTGCGTGCATTCATACATACCTACGCAAACGCACCACCACCACCACCACCACCACCACCACCACCAACAACAACAACAACAACAACAACAACACTTTTTGACTTGCGGTCCACTTTCCAGGTACATACATGGTCACTGAACGGGGAAAACCCCAGATGTGGAGAGAGGAAGATACTTGCAGCACATCGTGTGCTCAAAAGGCCGGAAGATGAACGAGTCCTGGCGGAGGACCTAATAAAGTAGGGGTCTTAATAATTGGTATAGGTAATTCTCAAGGCCTCTATATTCTGCCACGTCCTCCGCTTCTCCGGATTCATGTCAGCCCACTACTCTACAAGTGGTTACAGGCAATCAGCATGGGCCTCACCATCCCGGCATCAATTTCAACAAGGTCTCAAGATTCAGGGTCCATCATGGAGGACGAACATGGTTGGAGAAAGAAGTCGACCTTTGAGTTGTTTGACTAACCGATCACAACCGAGCGGCATGACAATCACCAGCAGGCTGACAGCACCATGACTCCTCGGGAGTAGACCATTTAAGCTTGCACAGTTCAGGGTCCAGGCTGGAGGGACGATAGAAACTGCGAAGCTCGACAGGAGCTACGAAGTGGCTCTTTTGTTGATGCTTCGGGTGTCGCAAGGGCTAAATTGGCTAAATGTGAGACATGTTGACAATCTGTTCTAGCACTCTCAACCAGACATTGCTATCGAAGCGACAACCGTGCAGCATCGACATGTTGCCGAGATGTGCGACCGTAGGTGCCCGTCTTGGTGCCTAATTCATGTTTGATCTCACTCTCGCAGGAAGACGGCATGGGCCAAGGGACAAGTCTTGCTGTAGCATGGCCGGAACAACATGGCAAGTCCGGGTGGTTGGCGTCTGCACGAACCTCAGGATTCGGAGTGCCTTCAGCGCCGTAACTGCCCAAGTAAAAACCATCCCCACAAAGCAACAACTGAAGCTCGTACTGCCATTGGCTACATGCTGGGATGCTGGTTGCGCTGGACTCCTGTGTCTGCTGCACCACAACAAGCGCAAGCATCACATGTCGAACTTTTCAAACCCTGGAATGGTTGGTACTGCACAGCACACCATTCAACGCATAACAAACAAAGTGCAAAGAAGACAGTGCTTCAGCTTACACTCCTATGATCTTACCACCAAAGCTTCATAGTACGAAGATGAGAGTGTAGCCCATGTTCGGCCAAGCCAACCTCAAGGCTGCGTCCACATAGACCATATGGCTGCCCCAAAGAATTATACAGCAAATGATCGCCGCCGGGACGTTCCTGGAAGACAGAGGCGAATCCGTCACAGACTCATGTGTGGACCTCTCAGGGGGCATCATAACAGGAAGCTTTACTGCAAAGATCACACCAGAAGAATTGTCGTCGCTGCCACAAGAGCAGGCCTTCGCAATGACCCTTCCTGTTAAGTGGAAGGTTCGAACACAACAGTCGTATGACATATAAGCTCAGACGCCAAAATGCACTGTCTCCTGACTTCGGACCTCTATGAACCCTGCGGACTAAACTAAGCAATGTGGATACAACTATGTCGTGGCAGGGTCCTGGAATGCGGCAAGCTGAGGAGGCATGCATTCGGGCTTGGGGCTCCTATCTGGTGTTGGGTCCAATCCGTCATCGCTCCCAAGAGCCGACACTGAAGCTGGATACTACCCTAAATCCTGGGGCCCTATAGCTTACAGCCAACACCACTCAAAGCAGCAATCCTCTGCTTCCCGCGGCCTTTATGTGCAAGTACACACGCCACTCAAGAGCGTTGGCAGGGGGGTTGAAAGAGTGCAGGTTTGCACTGAAATGCTGTATGCATGCATGCGTGAATGTATGTGTTCATACAAATAGCATTACGGGTGTGAATATGAATAGGAAAATAGATATGTATCATATGTGCACAGGTATAAACATATATGCATATTGTACATTAAAGGATATAGACCTATTGAGAGGCTTCTTTGCGAAAGCCTCGCCCACCACCGCCAGAAGCTTGATTGCCCTTGGTGGAAATGGAGTTGTTCTGGTCTTTCTCTGAAGCTGGTGCGCCCATTCTCAGAGACCACTTGACCAGTTTTGATGGCGTAGATTTTGGACGTGAAGCTGAACCTTAGCTTTGGCACCGTCGATGACATTCTCTGGACATGCAACCCCGTCTTGTTGAGATAGTCACGCATATGCATATCGCGTACTTCAGATCTACTAAAAAGAGCCGCAACAACCGTGCCGGTAGGACTATGCAAACTTGCGAACCTTTGCAGACAAACTTTGGTTTCTTTCGCGGGGTTGCAGCAGGCTTCACTCGGTCGACACGAGTGCCGGATTTATCTTATTTCAGTCGGCGAGGCGAGAACTCACATCACTCGAGTGCAAACGCCATTTCAGAGAGTTCTACTGTGGTGAAGATTCGCATCAGGATGCATTGTGGACGCTCCTTGTAGTCTGCAAGTTGCACGAGCTCAATCTCTTGATATGTCACGGACGCTGCGGTTTCAAGAGTACAGGTTGGCATCGCATGTCCAAGTAGAGGATGGGTGTATGTCCGACGGCGGAGACCAGTTTGGCAACGACAGACTTGATAGAAGAGCTACAGCCAGCATGACTGCCTGCCATCAGATTTCGTGTGCACTGCGATTTGCACTGATCTCACCACGACACAACATGCTCAACACTGTCCAAACCGCCAAGACTCAAACCCCTCTTCAACATCGCATATCGCCGACAACTGCTGTCCCCCATTGTGGACGCAGATCGTTGTGTACAAAACACCAGAATGCCAAAAAAAGCGACCCCTGGTAGGAGCCCCGGTACGGGTACTCCGCACTGCCGAAACGGTGCAGCAAGCAACTGTCCACTCACTTTTAACTTAAATTTCCAGTCGTTGCAACGTCCGTTTAGGTCGTGCGAATACCAGGAATCATCCTGATGGCAACCGACAATAAGTCTTTAGTTTCAGGATCTGTGCAAGCATGACAGCGTGAACAGTACTCAACAAATTGTTTCATCGCACATCGTGACCATGCTAGGCAGACCGGGCACAGGTACCAGCACCAAACGGCTGCCGGAAAGGCGCACAAGCTTAATATCCTCTGCCTCAGCTGTATTCAGACTACGGTCGCTCCGATCCGTGTGTTGAGGTCTGCTCAGCTGCTTCACAACCTTTAAAATCATGCTCCAAAGCTACGCAGGGACAACCTGCAAAACCACAAAATAGTTCCAGCGACATCGAAGCTGCCATGATTCGTTGGCGACAAGGCCAGGTTCGCGCCACGACTGATTCATGAGGAAGTCCTCCTTTACACGAGTCTCAAAGCAGTGGACATCAGCACCTCTTAGGCGGACCTGTGCCATATTTAGAATTGTGCTTGAATTCGGGTGTTCTTTCAGACTTGGGGCTGAAGCCCAAGAGTCCGGGAAAATCGTCGTGAAAGATCTCCAAATCAGGAAGGCCACAGCAGCAGAAAGACTCAGCGGATGCAGCTTGAGAGTCATAAGCAGCATAAGCTGGACCCGCCAATATAGCCGCCACGTTGCGACACACTCAGGGATCCCATGTCGACATAGTTGATCCATCGCTGCAGACATCAGCAATGCACTGGCGGCTTCCACTTTCAATGCGTGCGCACGGTACAGGACTGGCAAAGACAGGAAAAACGCCAGAATCAAGAGAGCCAGACCTAGTCGAACGTTGGCCACCATTCTGTCTCGATCCTTGTTTCTGTCATCCCAGTGGGTGTAGATCCAGTGGTCCACCGCCCACCAAATGTTGTAGAAATTCAGGACCTGGTCTAAAGAGTTCTGATCTTCAAGGCCCGGGCACTCAAGCTATAGGCTCTTCAACACGACAAGGAGTCATCCTAGGAAATACACGACAGTCTGAAAGCTCGCGAGGGCCATCTTGCTTGTATCCCACAGTCGGGTGTACAATGCCTTGCGTGCTCTGGTATGAACGTGTGCTATCACGTTCCTCACGCCTGTAGTAAGTTATTAGTTTTTAAAAGCTCCCAGCTCCGAATCTGGTTTCCTGCCAGCATCACCTGCCGAAGCTGGCAAAAGCTTTCTTAGTCTCGCATTCAAGCTACCCATAAGCACAACATATCCCACATGAGAGAGTCGATCTCATATGTTGAGACTGCTGTTTTCTAGCGGTGACAACGAGGTGCCCACAACACTGTTGAGGTAGATCGGTGAACCCTCCGAGTTCTTGAGCTGGAGTCGCTTGTATTACTCAAGCACAAGGGTGACAATCCTTTGGAACCAGAGTGAAGCGTTTTCATCTGCTGGCGGACTACTTTATGGGCAGTGACGACACTCCGTCACAAAGGCGAGTGTTTTGTTTCGAAGCGTCCTTGTCTGGCTGCGTGGTGAATGTGCCTTCTGAGCCGTTCAATACTCTTTCTGACTACGGCAAAAAACGGGCCCTAACCATATCGGCCTTGGGGAGAGATTGCCGTTCCAAGAAGGGGCTCGTGAGCAGCATTGGGTCGGTCGTGTCTCGCCACCAAGTCCTTGGTGCACGAGGCTTTTTGTTGCATTCGGGCGGCGCAAGGGTTTGTGGCTGTCTTGCTAGCTTGGGAGCACGGTTTCCCCTCAAAGGCTTGTCGGTTGAACCGTTGCCCTGGGCTCCAGCTGCGCAGGGTGTTTACGATTCGCAATGTCAGAAACACGTTCTCTGAGTCACGTCTCTCAGGCTTTCGGAAGTTCAACGGGCATTAGGCGTAAATCATGGATGCGTAGTCAATCCCTGCGGCAACGAGACAAACATCAGCCAACTCTCAGTCAAGGTACCGACATGATCTGCCTGCCGCTCGTAGGCGGTCCATGGCTCTCCGAAGTGGCAGAGCAGAAGCACATGAAGCCGTGGAGACCGTGAGCAAGCACTCTCAGGCTCCATTGCTATTCTTACTCTTTCTTACCAAGGAGTAAGTAGTAATTAGCAAGTAGTAATAGTAGTATTCGTAGTAGTAGTAGTAGTAGTAGTAGTAGTAGTAGTACTACAGTAGCAGTAGCAGTAGCAGGACATGCCCGGTAACAAAGATTCGTCGCATCCGCTTAGAAACACTAAGCGGAGTACGCGGAGTAC